CCTTTCCTGGAACTCACTTGGTAGCCCAGACTGGCCTCGAACTCACAGAGATCCGCCTGGCTCTGCCTCCTGAGTGCTGGGATTAAAGGCGTGCGCCACCACTGCCCGGCGAGTTTTATATATAATATGTTATATACAGAAGCCATGGGTGGGCTGGGCTAGAGACAGGGCTCAGTGGTTCAGAGCACTGGCTAGTCTTCCAGAGGACCCAGAGTTCAGTTCCCAGCACCCACACAGTGGCTAACACTGTCTAACTCCAGTTCTGGGGTTATTCAGTGCTGCCTCTGACCTCTGTGAGCAGCAGGCATGCAAATGGTGCACAGACATGCATGTAGACAGAATACTACACACATTAAAAATAAATAATTTAGCCTTTAATCCCAGCAGTCAGGAGGCAGAGGCAGGTGAATATGTGAGTCCAAGACCAGCCTGGTCTACAGATCAAGTTTGAGGACAGCTGTGTACACAAAGAAACCCCGCCTGGTAAATCAAACTAATAAATAAATAAGTAAACAAACAAACAAATCATTTTTAAAAAGCCACTCCAGGTCCTGGCCCTTGCTTCCTTATCCCCATGCTCAGAAATCTTACCAAACTAGCCATTTACAGTCCAGCCTTCCTTCTTCCAAATCTTTTTTCAGCACTGCCTGGAGATTTGTTTTGACTCTCTCACCTAGTCTCGCTGACACTGTTCATCATCATTTCCCTCATCCACACCTCAGTTTTTCTCTCCTGTCTTGTCACCCCATGAGAGCACACACATGAGAGCTTTTTTGACAGCTTTTACAGTCTGTAGTTCCCTGGCCATCTATTTTCAGTCCACTAGAAAGTAAAAGAGGAAAAAAAATCAAAAAGCTCTCACAAAACTGGGAATAGCTTAGTGGCAGTGTGCTTGCCTCATACGCATGAGACCCTGAATTCCATCCTCAGTACCTTAAAGAGGTGGGGAAGTCCTTAGGTTGGAATATATATGTTTGTGCATAGTGTATGTGCACACATTTAAAGCAAAAAATGAGAATCCACACAAGACAGAGGCTCGGTTCTCTTTGGAGGAGAGGAGCATCTCAGGCTCTAGACAGTTGTTAGTATGTTGAATGCATCTCACTCTGCAAACGAAATCTGTATCTTTTTCCTGTGCAGCTTAAACAAAGAAAAGCCCTGATGTTTATTGAGGGTTTAGGTAACTACTACCCAGTTAAGGAGAGATTTTTTTTAAATTGTGCTTTCATTATGACTCCATCTCCATTTATTGATCAAGGGATTTCTTGCCTCACTTAACTTCATAATCTGCTGATCAGATTAAGAAAATGTGAAAACTATTGTTTGGCAGCATGAGCAGACTTTAAAGTGATAGTTTGGAGGCTGGATGAATCAAATACTACAATCCAAGAAAAGCGGCCAATTGATCATGCGGAATGTGTTTTTATGCTTTATTCTTTTTATGGATTGAGCATGCAATGAAACAAATCGGCTTAAAAGTTTAGTGGATGTGCTGTTCTAGAAGCAGGGACTTCCTAGTGTCGAAATAGCCAACAGAAAGTACTAAATCAAGGAAGGGACAGGAAATAATGCACATGAAAAGGCATGAACAAACGTATGTCATTATGCAACCTATTTTCAGCACCTATTGTGCTCTTTTTTAATGTATGGAATAATACATATAAGCAGCACAGTAAATTCTCAGTCATAAGCAGCAGAAAAGGTCTTATTTAATGCCCTTGACTTTGGTATTTCTTTTCTTACACCTTTAGTACCTAGTCTATAGCTGTGCGCTCTGGGAAGACCTGGGTTTACGCTTTACCTCCTACCTTGCCCGCTTACTGGTCGCCGTCTTCTCATTAATTCCCCCTCTTGAGGGCTACCAGGGAAGAGAAAAGAGGTGAGCTTCAGGTCAGTCCAGTGTGCTTAGAAACAGAAGCAATTCAATCTCAGTACAATAAATTTAGAAGACCTGCTCAAATTTTTGTGTGTGTGTCATTTAGGAATTTGTTCTAGCCAACTGAGGGAACATTCCTCTTAATTAAACCCTGGACATCTTTGAGATTGATATTTTGTTTATTAACAAGCATTATAATAGGAATTTTTTTCAGTCTCTGGAAGATTTTATTTAGCTCTTTTGAGACAGGATTTTGCTACATAGTTAAGACTAGCGCCTCTCTCTCTCTCTCTCTCTCTCTCTCTCTCTCTCTCTCTCTCTCTCTCTCTCTCTCTCATTTCTTTCCAGACAAGGCTTCTTTGTGTAGCCCTGGCTGTCCTGGAACTATCTCTGTAGACCAGGCTGGCCTTGAACTCACAGAGATCTGCCTGCCTCGGTCTCCTGGGTGCTGGAATTAAAGGCATGGGCCACTAGCACCCCGCTATTTCCCTCTCTCTTAAAAAAAAAAAAAAATGTGTCTTTTATTACATTTCTTTCACGTGTGTGTATGACCAAAGTCACAGGTTAACTCGCTGGAGGGAATCAGTCCTCTCCTTCTGCCATGTGGTCCTGGGTCATAAAAGCAAGTTCCTTTATCTATCACCACAGCCATGGCCTCAATCTCTTGACCCTTCTACTTCAGTCTCCCAAGAGCTAGGATTCAGGCCTTCCCTACAGCAACTGGCCTGTTACTGCAGGAGTCTGTCTGAAGGACAAAGGAAAGGAAATCGTGTGTTTGTACCAATTACGTGAAACAATCTAAACCTGTTTACACTGCTGGGTTTTATTGCTTAAAATTACCCAGAGTGATTTTACCCAGAAGAAATACGCCCATCCTATATACAGGGACAGTGAGGCTCAGAAATACTGTCTGACCGGTCTCTCAGTCCGCCGAGAAAACCCAGCCCAACAGCCTTTGCAGATGAGGGCTGCTCCGGCCAAAAACCTCCATGCGAGACTTCACGGGAAACTCATTACAGACAAAACGCTTTTACAGAATAAAAAATGTCTCCTTCAATGGCTGGGTGTCCTCCCTACCCCTGCCCTGGCGGGGGTGAGGGGTGGGAGTGGGGGTGGGGGGGAGGGGACCGTATTACTGTCTACCAGACCCTTCACACAGCGGTCAACTCACAATGGCCAGAGCAGCCTGCCGAGGAAATGGTGACAAGCATTCCGGCACTGTGGCCTAGGACGCCAACATGACTCTGTAACACTAGCGCAGCTGGGCACTTCTGCAGCATGACCGTGACAACTGCTGGCCGTGCTCACTGCAGACAGCTGCAGGCTCGGTTTACTTCTGCAAACCCCCCCCCGCACCCCAGCCCCCGATCGGGCGGGGGTCGCCAGCTGTCGCAGCACCCGCCACGGCCCCCGCTTTCCCACTCCCACGCACCCGCCAAGGCGGCCGCGGCCCCGACGCCGCAGGCGCGCGCCCCGGGCGCACGTGACGGGTCTGGGGCGGGCAGTTTTCATTCTCCCCTCCCCCTTCCAGAAGCCCCCGCCTCCTCCCCACAGGCCCAGGCTTTCGATTGCGCCACCACCAGAGTGACCCCCAGGTCAGCCAATCGAGACGCGGCACCTCGAGCAAGGCCCGCCCCCTGGTGGTCCTCAGGTTCCTTCCCGCTCACACCGGAGTCACTTCCGAAGAGAGAACCGCCATGAAGAGAGTAGGGGGTGCCGCCCACCTCTGCACCGACAGCCGCCCCGAGTCCCAGCAGCAAGACGGCAACCACGCACCCAGCTTCTCCAGCCACAGCTCATGCCGCCGTCGTCAGCGGCGCCGACATGACAAGGCGCTGCATGCCCGCTAGGCCAGGTTTCCCCTCATCCCCAGCCCCGGGGTCGTCGCCCCCGCGCTGCCATCTGAGACCCGGTAGTACCGCCCCTGCTGCAGCGGGAAAAAGAACAGAGAGTCCTGGGGACAGGTACCGTGCAGAGGGCTTGAGAAGGGGCCGGGTCGCGGGGGCACGGGGAGAAGGGAGGACTGCGGACGGCTGCTCTTCAGTTCCCGCCATCCTCAGCGAGCTCAGGCCTTGATGTTCTGCGGCCTGCAAGCCCTTGCCCCGCCTCCGCGCGGGGGCTTCTGGGAGTTGGAGTCTCCTTTTCTGTAGTTGGGGTGTTGCTTTTGGTCTAGTGGCTATGGAGAGCTCGCCTTAGGTAGAAGGTTATTTTTATTCTTTCGAGAGCTTGACCTGGGACCCTCCCTCCTCGATGCATCTATTTAGATCGTTCTGATGCTGGTGGTTTCTACACTGTGAGTGAAATTATGTAAGAGGTGATAAGGAAAACCCACTAATTACTCTATATAGTACAGTGTACACGGTCATTCATACTAAAACCATTTTTGGAATGCGCCTGTTTTCCCTGTGAGTAACTTTCTGCCTCTCCAAGAGACCTTTTCCTTTTTCATTTTATTTTCTTCTTCTTCTTTTTTTTTTTTTTGTAAAGATTTTCTGGGAGCTATGTAATGATGGAGAATTTCATCAAATGACATCCTTTAACAATAAAACATGTTTAAATTATCTACGAACTTGGTACTGTCTTTTTTATTTTAATTATTAAAAGTGGTAACACGTTTAAAAGTAGATTTATGCGTTAATATTGTGGCACAGACTCGCAGTCCTTTATCTTAATTCAGAAAGCTATGAAAAGCAAACGTTTTCATTAAGTTGCCTACCACAGCTTATTTAGCAGCTGAGCCAGGCTGGCCAGAAGTAATACGAGGTTGTGGATGGTCTTTATTCCACTGAGTGTCATAAGCTTTGCTGCAGAAATATTAGTATGTTTGACTTACAGGTTACACCAGACCCTGCTGGGGGCTGTACATAATACATTCAGGTTATTTCCTTCCCAAAATCCACAAGTCCCTAAACTTGCAGATAAAGGTTTGTGAGGCTGTCATAATTTTTAAAAACCAGTTATAGATAAGTAATGGGCATTTCTGTGCATTTGAACTTAGGAAGCAATTATTTTTCCCTCTAGAAAGTTTCATTTATGGTTACATGGTTTACCCAAAGCCATTTTTGTTGTTGTTGTCTTTCTGGTGTATTGAAGAGGAATATTAGGGTTAATACTTGAGGAAAGAGATGCGGTGTTGTATTTAACAAAGAGATATTAGTATATCTTGATTTGAATTAGCTGCTTCTGGGTTCTTTTGCACCTTGCTAACTACCAATAATAGGACATCATTTGCCTCCCCTTTGCAGACTCTAGCATTTCTTCCTTTCTACTTGGTGGTAGAGTTAATTTACCTAATGTAAGTTACTTCTTGTAAAGAAATGCATGTATTCTCCTTTACCCTGTCACTTGCTGTCATTTGGAGTCATTTAGGGTTCTATCAGCATACCTGTAGAATCTAGGTAAACCAGGAAAGATGTACATTGCTCTTCTGATGTGACCAGTAAAGTGTACAAACTAGAAAAGGAGATCAGCCTTGGGTTTGGATTGCTTAGGCTTTTCATGGAATGCTCCATTCTCAGAAGAGACATGTTTAGAGACACTGGTAGCTTACTGCTTACTCGCTTTCAGCAAAATGGATACATTTCAGTAAATTATTTTATTTACTCAGTTTTTCTCTACATATAACATCTCCCCTTTCACAGCTGACAACTCAACATGCATTAACAAATCAGAGTGTAGGTTCTGGTAATAATCATGCCTGTGTTAGGGCACAGTAACCCATAAAATTTATTAAACCAATTTGTTTTTTTTTTTGTTTTGTTTTGTTTTGTTTTAACTTTTATATCAACATTTTTTCATTTTACTTGGGTAGTCTGCTGCTTTTTAAAGATTTCTTAAGAGGTTTTTTTTTGTAATATTTTTATTTTTATTTTATGTGTATGAGTGTTTTGGCTGCATGTATGTCTGCAGCATGTGTGTGCCTGGTGCCTGAGACCAGAAGAGGGCATCACATCTCCTGGAACTGGAGTTAGACATTGTGAACAGCCAAGTCGACTTCACTGCAAGAGCAGCAAGTGCTCTTAAACACGGGGCCTCTCCTCAGCCCCCCACTCGTCTTGTAGTTTTCTTTTTCTTTTCTTGTGTGTAGTGTCCCCCCTGAGACAAGGTCTCACTATGTAGCCCTGACTGGCCAAGAATTCACTACATAGACCAGCCCAGTCTCAAACTCACACAGATCCACCTGCCTCTGTCTCCTGAGTGCTGGGATTAAAGATGTGTGCCACTGCTCCTAGCTAATCTTAAGGAATCTTAGATAAAAAAAACATTTGAAACCCAAGTTGTGGCTCATTTTAGTTTTTGCTGTTACTTAGTTTAGCATCTTAGAAACATAGAGATACTGTGAGACTCATAAATGATCCCTTCTGCTTTTGCCATGCACCTTCCTTTCAACCACCTCCCCAGATCAACCTGATTGTTCATCTTCCCATCTGTCACTCTCCTCCTGTTGCAAGAGTCTGTTAAGGGTTCCAGTCACCATTGCTCATCAGGTTTCTATTTGAATCACTGCCAGTCACTGGAGATAACAACAAACAGAATCAGAGACTTCTCCCCAAGGTCTTCTACCCTAGCATGTAGATGTGAGCATTCCCAAACTAAACAACACTCATCAGTTCCCTAGATTCACACTTTAGTTTTGCCATTTAGTACTCGAGATTTCATTGTCTCAGTTGTATTTATAAACTTAGAGAAAATTGGTTATATTTTCAACTTTCTTGTGGCTTAGCAAAGCATGATTAACATTGTCAGAACTTAGTTAAATCGGATAGTGGAATCCAGCCTGTATTATATAAATCTAATGTTCACCACCTAATCTAAGATATTGAGGTTTTAATACTTGCTTTTGTGATGTCATATTAGTTGTGCTTTTATTTTCAGGAAACAGTCAATCATAGATTTCTTCAAGCCAGCTTCAAAACCAGGTATGCATATTAAAATATTTTTGATCGGTTGTTTTAGAGGTGAAGAGGGCCTCCAGAATTTGATTATACTGTTCAGAATTGAAAATTATACAGTTAGAATGAAGATGTGTAAACATTAAGCCATCTGTTCTACATTCTTAACAATTAAAATAACATACAGTTGATAGTGCTGATTTTTTTTTTTCTTTCTTTTTTTCTAAGACAGAGTTTCTCTGTGTAACCCTGGCTGTCCTGGAACTCACTCTGTAGACCTGGCTGGCCTCAAACTCAGAAATCTGCCTGCCTCTGCCTCTGAATGTTTATTTTACTCTCTAGCACAGTAGCTCACAAATATAGCCACAGGGAGGTTAGATGATGTAGTAGGAGGGAGTCATGAATGTAAACTTCATAAAAGGTAAACAAACCCATTTCTTAATTTCTCTCTCTTCCAAAATGTATTTTATTACCCAAATATTAATTGGCTTGAATTCTTTAATAGCTTCAATATAGTTATAAATTGATAGTTAAATAGGAATAGAAACATTAATTTATTTTTAATAACATAAAATTTGTATGTGTTTTAATTGTGACTGTTTTAGACAAACATATGTTGGATTCTCCACAAAAATCAAACATCAAATATGGAGGAAATGGAGTATCCATCAGTGGGAGAGAGCAATTTGAAAGGAAATTATCTTCACCAAAAAAAACTAAACCCAAAAGAATGTCATCAGAAGAAAGTCCTATTTTAGAAGCTTTCATGAAAGGTGGTAAAGAGCACCACAAAGATCATGGTGTACATGAGTCACGGCGGCCTTGTATGTCAGTAGGCTCCAAATATTTACTCAAAGGATCAGGTATCTATCCTTCCTCTTATCGATTGCCCAAAGAGATGAAGACACGGAAGAAAAAACACCGGTCTCCAGAGAGAAGGAAGTCACTGTTCATTCATGAAAGTAACAGAGAGAAGAATGACAGAGATCGAGGCAAGACTAGTGAAGACTCCAGAAAGCAGGCCCCAGCCACAGGGGGTGACATCTTCAAGAACAGCTCCCGAAGTGTTAGTAGCAGAAGCAGCCTATCCCGGCACCACCCAGGAGAAAGCCCACTGGGAGCGAGGTTCAAGTTGTCATTAGCTTCTTACTGCCGAGAACGAGAACAGAAGAAGTTGAGAAAGGAACAAATGGAGCAGAGAATCAACTCGGAAAATTCTTTCTCAGAAACAAGCAATCTTTCCTTAAAATCCTCTAGTGTAGGGAAAAAATGCAAACCAAGGCATGAACACAGTAAACAGAATGATGCTATCCCTGGAAAGAGTAATCTTTCAAATCTGGTATGTACAAGAATTACTGGGTTAATTTTACCACTACCGTACCATGGTTAGATCCTAAGTCTAAAGATATTATTAATCCATAACATTTAAGGAAATACGGGTGCACAGTTTGGGCTGACACTGGTTTCATTAGGTTTCCTCCAACTACCCTTCATTGAATTCAGTAAATTTCTTTACCTTAATTTTTTCAGACCAGGATCAAAGATCTTTTCTAATGGAAAATAGACATTCTTTCAGGCAAGTAGAGTCATTTT